GTTATCCTCAACCTGGTTTGGCCCGCCTCTCTAGCGATTTACCGGGGTGTAGCCACTGTTGCATCCAAACAGCTTCTTGGAGCCACAAGTGAGAGCTGAGCACCTGATGGAGACCAAAGAACGTAAGGTGCCCCAAACGGGTCGACAGCTCTCTGAGTCAGAGTTGCCACTCCTACCGGGTACACCATACACCCCATACATCATAAGCATCGCCAGCGCGTAATCAAATTGAAACTGAAAACCTTTCACTAGGTTGATAAAATTTCGCAAATAGATAATTCATGTGATGGAAGGTAATTATATTGCGAATTGACTAATGTGGTCACGTACTCCGAAGAGTTTCCTCTGTCCAGTACAATGAAAAGCATATCTACTGTTCAGTTGACCGAATGGACAAAGTGATCGATTATTTAAACTGTGGGAAAACACAAGACCCCGACAGTGTCTAAACGATGTTTACTCGGACGAGGGCGAAGCTGTCTACCTCAAAAATAGATTGATTGTTACAAGAGTTGAATCTGTCAACTGCTATTGAGACTGCTAAGCTTCATGCGCTCATTTTTACTTCGAGCTCTGTGGGTTCGCTTATGAGATACGATGTTGTGACCAATAAATCAGGGTTTTCACACTCTAGTCCATTCTCATTTTGAGTTTTCGGTACCCAGTTCGTCCCTAAGAGATCAAGATAATTTCATTGTTTGTGTGACGAGCATCCAAACTAAGTGAACCTTGTTTGCATCTTCCGCTTTATAGGAGTTGTTCTTAGTCACAGTGGACGGGGTCTGTTTGTATGTATTTTCTTAGATAAATTTCCAACGTGGCATTCGCACTTTATTCGACAGTGCAAGCTAGTGATAGTGAACAGCCCTGGTTCTCCCAAGTTGATCGTTTTACCACTTCGGTGCAATATTTTTGATGCTTTTTCCTGCCTGTTAGGTTATCTTTGGTTGTACATTTATGGCACATGCAATTTTTTCTACCTGGCACCCTCCTTTTCCAGGTGATTCAGTTAGCCACCGAACGGAATTATCTACGTCGAATGATTTGTCTACAAAGCATCATAAGCCTGAGCGAAATAGTCGGTCCGTCCGTCTGCAAACAGCACTTGTTGCCAACTACTCTGTCCATGCAAAACGATAGTGTTCCAAATGTCCGGTTCAAGGTTAGTCACATGTGTTTGTGCATGCATGTTTTGTGTGCTCAATGTTTTACCTTACATGTGAATAAAGTAGAACCAGGCTCATCGAATAAGAGACCACGAAGCAGCAGTCCTGAAGTGTGACAAGGCGGCACACATGTATGTATGTGCTGCGCAACATAGCCATCAATTGGGCTCTAAACTTGTTATGACTGACTGTCCAGCTGAACTTCACAACTTCATCTTGGATCTGGAGTTTATAGGCGATGTTGTTGTCTTTGATGGTTCTGCTGTCGCGCTTCAAGCAATTCTCGACAGAATCAATTTCTGTGCGACAACCTTCAATCTCAAAGTGAACACGGTAAAAAGCGAAAACCCACTGAATCTTCCCAGGGTTAGGTGCTGAATAGCTGCTCATCAGCGATAAATCGAGAATTGTCATCTTTCAAATACTTCTGTCCAATTATATTCTCCCCTCCGTCGTTAATGAGTCTGTATCTTCCCGGTCGATTCTTGGCGTCCAGTGATCATTATTCCGATCCCTAAATCCACGTCCTCAACTATTCTTGCGAAACGGTTTCGTCCCGTCGCGCTGGCCTTAGCGGCTCTAAAGTTAGCCGAGAAAGCCATCCGGAGTCGGTTGCAGTCAGACACCACAATTCCTCACTACCGCCTTCAGTTTGCATATAAATCAAACAGATCTACATTGGACGCCATGTCCATTCTAATGCATTTTGTCAGAAAATCATTGAGCGATTCGGCCAAGTTGTGTTTTTCTTGACTATTCGTCTGCATTTGATTCTGTTTCCCGATCATTCCTTCTTTTCAAACTTGAATTATATGGCACTTCAAAATAACTGCTGTCATGGCTTGCTGACTTTCACGTAGAGCGTCCAGTGCACTAAATTAGGAAGGAGGACCTCAAAACCTCTTGTTAATAATTCTGGTGTTCTTCAAGGTGCTGTTCTATCTCCATATCTTTTTTCTACCTTTATTAGTGATCTTTCGATCCCACCGCCTGCGCACATCCAAAAAGTATGCTAATGACGTTGTTTTGTGTCAGAAAGTTTCATCTCCTTTGGAATTTCATTCTTTTACCGAGAAACTTTCCCACATGCAACAGTTTTCTGACCAATCTGGTCTCAGTCTTAACATATGTAAGTGCGTAGAGTGTATTTTCAGTCTTTCCCGCTCCTCATTTCCAACGGCATCTGCTACCCTTAACGGTAAACCTGTATCCAGAATGACCTCAGTCAAGTACCTGGGTGTCACCATCGACAGCAACCTTCGTTGGTCTACACATATTTACAACTGTATGAGAAAACTGAGACACCTATCTTTTCAGTTACTCAAACTCAGGCAATTTCGAACCCCACAGTCAGTCCTGCGTTTTACCCATTCTACTCTATTGCTCCCCTGTAGTGTTTTTCGGTGTTTTAAAACAAGACTTCAAAACAATTCGCCGTGGTTTGGTGATAATCAGTCGTGCATCATTAAGTCCGATCGATTCATTAATCACAGATCTCATTGATGGTCACATCAACTTGTTTTAAATTGGCTCATAAGATTCTAGATGATCCTCTTCATCCACTACACGCTGATCTATCGCCTTGTCGTTCCCATCCGTCCACACGTTCCTCATTTCGACGGCTACCCTCTCGGATTAACATTGATAAAAATTACCCTGCACCCTACCTGGCCCGACTCCTAACCAAAAAGGAACAGGTCTCCAATTAACTACGTCAAAATTTTCGCACATGAAGCAAATATCACCGACATTTTTTACCTCTTGTTTTTGTTATTATTATTATTATTATTATTATTATTATTTCATTCTGCGTGACGAACAGTGTACATTTTTGACTGAAGTGTAAGCATACATACTTACACAAGTTATATAAATACAAATACAAAGACGATGCGAAGTATAAAATAACAACGAGGGTCGATAGTGCACGCCAAGGGATCCTCTGTCTACATCTTTCGCTCTGGACCCGCGGTGAGATCAACATTCAGACTAAGGTTGGCGTGTTTTCTGCTGCTGTCTAATCCGGATTCTTCCACCTAGGACTCCAATACATCGTATATATTTGACTATTGGTGCCTCTGGTCTATCGTTCGAACAAGATGTGAGAAGAAAGTTGGCCGACGAAGTAAAATATTGCCATCTTGTTGAATAACTGTCCACCTTCGTCCATTACCGATCACTGCGGTGCTCCGAGCACATACTACAGCCCTCCGACAAATATTGTGCTCTGCATCTCGTTCGGACGGCTCTGTCACCCTGGTGGTCGGCCGAAAAAGTGGATTGCTGCTGCAGGGTTCCCGTTATTGGAAAAAAACTGAGTGATCTGCACCAACCTGGCATCCGCAATTTCCATCAAGCCGACATCCTCCCGAACCGGATGGTCGTTAAAAGTGAAAAGTGTTGGCGAAAACTCCCCACGAATCTTGATTTCGAAACTACCGTCGACGCAGTGGATCGCAATACACTACATCATTGTGTCTTTTTCTAAGAATATATTCGGAGTTCATCTTCTTATACACAACCAATTCCAAATTCCACTTTTGTGTTTGTGGTTATCTATCACCCTCATCTACTACAAGAAGCGGCTTCGGTAATAGCCCTCCGTGTACGATTCCATATTCATCCATCTGTTCATAAGCAATAAGTTTTACGGACGTAGGCGAAATAGTTCCACTGATTAAAGAGGTTGTAGCATTTCCCGCTTGACGTGACTAGCGATAATGTTTGTAAGTTTCAAATGTGCTTTGTACGCTTGATTGTTAGGATACTGATACAGGATTAGTTTGTTCCCAGTCCAGTCAGTCGGTAACCATTGATATCCTAAACGACAGTTTTCCACTTGCGGTAGTTGATGGCAAGATGAGCATACGCAGCAGTCCAGAGACGAATTCCATTTGCTCTTCTCTCAACATTCCAGTCTTCATTCTGCTCTTTTATTCAAATGGGAAGCTAAAAGACCTCAACCGAAACCGGCACATGAAAATTCATAACTAATGATTGTGAAAAATTAAACCGAAAGTGATATCAAGATACTTTACCCCCAGGAGTTTACACTGATTGTGATTGTTTCGACCTGCTCTTTGAGATTACTACCGCAGCCCGAAAGGATAAAGAGTGGCATGTTTACCTCTTGTGTCACTTACGAGAACTGGATATCGATACGTGTATATCGGATGGTGTTGGGCCTGGTCCGGTTGCGAATGAGGTTTCCGCCCGCATGCGCAAAACTCAGTGTGCTTTATATTGGGGATATTTAAAGTGTTGTCACGAGCCTGACCTGTACACGAGGGCCCTAATTTTTAGTTCACCGATTGGACTTGTGATCATTTTTGATGCCCACATATCAAGTGCACTAGGTGAACAAACACTGTCGCTGATTCGGCATCGCTGTATG